ATTGTGCATGTTCAGTGCGGGCTGGAGACGTGGCAGGGGAGCAGGGCCCGGCTYGAGGATCCAGGAGCAGCTGAGCGTCGTCCCCAGCACAGCAGAGAAGCCCAGGGTGGTAAYGGGGCCGTGGGATTTGTGCAGACGGGGCTCCCAAAGTGGGGTCTGCAGTGCCTGGCACTGGGGAACGCCCTGCTGAAACAGGGGCCCGGTGGGAGGCTTGGAACCAAGATACTTGATTTGTTCACGGCGTGTCAGGACAGAAATGTGATAACGAATGAGCAGACCCCATGTGCACACGTGTGAGGGCTTTTTCCCGTCACTCAGAGCTGTAATGGAAAGCACGCCTTCACAAAGGTGTTTGTTCAACAACTATGAAGAATTTTATATGTATACATATATATATGTATTTATTGTGCAAGGTGCAGGGTGCGCACTGCAGCAGCATATGGGACACTGCACCCGGCTTGCTCCTTAGCTTTGCATTTCCCTTTTCTTCAAGCCATAAAGTGGTGATTGAAGCCGTATAAATTCATAGCTGGAAGGAGATGCCTCCTTAGCATCCTTCTCAATATTTTGTTTCTGCAAAGTGACAACCTGTCACTGCTCCTTAATACTGCACTTTTATCAGGCAAGCCCAGCCCAGCACAATCCGAGCGAATTCCCGTGCTGGCTGGGCAGGGATAGCGGCCTCACCTGCGTTCTGGCGTCTTCCTTATCCTCCTTTGTACTCCTTTTTATTGATGCCCGCCGCAGCTTGCTGGCTTTGCATCCCTACAAGAGGAATTGCTTTGGGGACTAGGAAAACGAAATTAAAGAAGGGCAAACAGAAGAGAGGCTGCCAGAGTGTTTTTTCTGTGTATAGGTACAGTTCTGTCTATCTAAATAAATAAATATAGATGCAAGTGCAGAGAGGGCTCCCAAGGTAGGAGCTTTCCTTGCTCCCTGGGCATGCAGCAAGTTGCGGAGCAGACCCCGCCGTCGGTGCAGGGAGGCCGAGCCGCGTCGGAGCCCCCCGGGGCCCCCTGTTAATTACCCGGGCTCTTAATTACCCATCGCTGCTGCGTGGCGTGACCTTGAGGAGCCGCCTCCTCGCRCGTGTGTGTCGGCCTGTGAAACGCCCGTGAATTATTTAATGCCTACAAATTGCTTGGGGGTCCCTGGGCGGGTGGCTCGGCCCGTTCCCGCTCCCGCTCGCCGTTCCTGTGGTTTCCTCCATGAGCTTACCAGCTGAGGGCTGAAACGTTCCTGCCGGATTAACTGGGAGCCCAGTGTCTTCATGCAGGGAGCAGGAGAAGGGGAGGTGTCCGAAAGCCCCTGTCTTCTAGGGGATGGCTGAAACTGCTATSAAAGACCTTGAAAAGCCATTGCGGCCTCCCCGTCTCTGTCAGCTTTGCATTGCCATGGGTTGAATGTCTGTTTGGGCTATCTCCAGGCACGTGGGCAAAATATATAAAAAAAATAAGATAAATTACATTTAAAAAATCCTGGAGATAATTCAGCTCTTCCTGCTGACGCTTGGGATCACTGGAAGCTCTGTTGCTTTCCTCTTGGGAGCTGTGAACTGCTCTGGTGTGATTTTTGTGCAGTCTTGATCTAAGATGACCTTCATGTGGGGAGCCAAAGCAGCATGAAAGTAATCTGTGTCATTAAACAAGACAAGTACTGCTTTTATTTAGGTGAAGAATGAAGTCTGGTGTAGAGTAACAGCATCATTTCTCTCTTACTCCTCGCAGGCTAGTGTGAAGGAAGGTCTGTCGGGGCAGATCTCCTCCCTGATGCCAGGGATGGAGTTCAGAGCAAGCCAAGAGTACAGAGCTGTGGTAACAGGTAGGGAGACAGCAGCTCTAACGTGCTGCTTTTGAAGGAGCCATGAGGGCCCCTTTACTGGGATCAGCAGCTTCCCAAGTGATCTTTCCAGAAYGGATTCAGATGGTGCCACTGATGGTGACTCCTGTGTCCGGGATGCCGCAGCATCGACCTGCAGGTGGACGCACCGTGGTCGTGGGATGGCAAAAATCAGTGGAGATTTGTTTGCTGTGTCTCCGTTAACCTTGCAGCTTTCCCCTTCCTTTTCCTCTTTTTGGGTACAGTATCCAGCATGAAAGGCCTTCGGTCCCCACTGGGGCTTTTAGGACGGAACAATCAGTGTTTTGAAAAGTGTCTTCATTCTGATATGGAACGAAAATGTAGCTTCCCGCATGGTTCTTGTGAGTTGTTTCTGTGCGTTTTGAGGTGGAGGAGATGGACTTYTCCACCACGTCTCAGCAACCTGCTGGAAAAGAGTATTTCTGGGAAAYGTTGCAGGGCTTCTGGGAAAAGTCCACAGCTTGTTCAAACTGTTTCTTGTTTTTTTTTTTTTTTTTAATTGCTATAGTATAATTAGAAGGAGAAGTGTGCGTGAAAACAGCCTGTATTTTTGTTTTCTTTACAACCCTTCTCACCAACCTTCTTCGCATATGCATTTCTTCAAAATATTCAGCACTGGCGAACCACACACACGGAGCAAATATGGCAGTGCTTGACATTTATTGATGTATAAAATATTTATAGAATGTGTATTTATAGCTCTTGACATTTTATAAATATATATATGCACACACACACGTATATACATTCCAGCCTGAACGTRTTGCATCTGTCTGCACCAGGGCGTCCTGTTGCCCCTTACAGTGTCTGCCTGTGCTGGATCCTGCACAGTTTGTGCTAAATCTGTTGCCATCAAGATGTGCATGGAAATAAACCCCTTCCAGATGAGGAAACCTCTGGCATTGAAGAGAGGAGGGACGGAGGAGAGGACCAGAGCGCCCTGCAGCTCCTGTGGGGATGGAGCAGTCGGTCCAAGCCCTGAGCACGGGCCGTGATGCTRCGTAACTGGCAGGGACCAGGCAATTAGCAGCGATAAGCTAATTGCAGGCTTCTGTTGACCTCCTAATTAGTGTGCTAATGAAGACGGAGGAGTTGGCCATTTGGGTGGAATTTGGAAATATTTTGTGGTCTGTAAGCTGCACAGATCCTCTTTGCGTGCGGGTTTATTGAGTATATTGTGCTAAGGCTTTAGTGGTAAAAAAGTTAAAAATTAACATATGAATGGTGCTCCTAGTACTTATTTTATTTTTACCCAGACAGCTTGGTTTTCTTTCCTTGAAGCAGACTTGATGCTGAGCATTCATAACTCTGCCCACTATTAAATTGTCTTCTTGTGTGTGTSTTCATCTCTGATGTAGCTACTTAGGCTTTTCCTTAAGGTCTCTTGCAGCCTCCTAGGGACCTGCATTTACTGAGGACTGGTGGCTTTTTTGCAAAATCACCCGCAGAATCATCTGTCTTTCGAGTGGTAGCCCTTGAAGCCTCCAGAAGGAGGAGCAGAGAGGGCTGGGGATGGACAGAGCGCTGGAGGAGCCCGGGGCAGGAATTCGTTCCAACAGGGAGAACTCAGCTCCGCAAAGGAAACAAAACTCGGGATTTAGAAGCCGCCCTCGTTTTGCTGCCAGCAAAATCCTGCTGCAGCCAAGCCCCAAAATGGGCCGAGTTTCTGCTCGCTGGGTAACTGCTGCCTCTTCCCTGACCTCCCACTGCGCTGGGGACAGATGTGGCTGTGGATGGAGATGCCTCTTCCCGGCTGGAAGAGCCTGGGATGGGGACAAACCTGTGGACCGTGCAGGTCCCACGGGGCCCGAGGGAGCCTCACGGGGGGATTAATGATTCCTTTGGCAGAGCAAAGCTGGAAGCCTGTGGATGGCCAGCGGCGCAAGGCCAGGTACAAATGGCAGGCATGAAATCCGTAATAACGAGCTCCGCCTGGAGCTCGGCGAGGCCGCGGAGGAAGAAGTGGGATTTGGTGGTGGAATTGGAGCCGGAACCCTAATCCCTGCAAGGCTCCGAATGGCAAATGCGAGGGCAGCCCTGGCCCTTCCGAGCAATTGATTTTTGTAATCTTCACCTTCTTTCAATTTAGAGGAGGGTTTTTTTTTTTTTTT